ATAAATAAGGTTTAAACAAATAAATTAAATATATATGTATGTTTGTGTGTGTACGTGTGTGTGTATGTGAGGCCTTGTGCCACATCTAAGGTACGCTTGAAAATCACTGGGCACTTCGAGGCGGTGTAATGCTTAGCAAGCTTGTCCCGCTAGAAAAATTACGACTGAGTAGTGAGTTTGATCCTCACTGTGTACCCCATACTTTCGGCCTTGTGCCACATCTAAGCTACGCTTGGAAAATCACGTTATATATATATATATATATATATATATATATCGTGATTTTCCATATATATATATATACACACACACACACATATATATATATATATATATATATATATATATATATATATATATAATTACATTATGTCCTTCGTAGTTTCCTTCCTTCCATAACGAATCCATCTTGCACATTTGCAAATCTACCATTCATCCATTTATTGAATACTGCTGCCATATCTCGTCTGCTGCTCCTGCATTTCATCTCGAGGTTCTTGACAAAATCCAAAGAAGGATCAGCAATGTAATCAATCCTGACCTGGCATCTCGTCTACAGTCAATTTCTCACCGACATGGGGTGGCTTCCCTCTGTCTTTTCTACAAATATTTTCACGGCAACTGCCCTGGCGAGCTTTTCCACCTTGTTCCCGGACTACATAAAATTTAAGCGTGTTACTAGATTGGCATATAGGTCCCACCCGTTTACTGTTGAGATAGTTGCTTCCCTGTTTGTTTTTTAAACACGCGCAAAGGCACACTTTTGAATTTATCCGTTGTGGAATTAAAAAAAAAAACAAAAAAAAAACAAGCGTTCCAATATGAGAGAGCTGGCCGGGAATTAGTAGAAATGAAAAATGGCATTCGTATATAAATGTTATATGCACTTTAATATGTTGTTGCTGTATTCGTAATAAATTTTGTTGAGTTTTGGTTGATTTTGATATAGAGGGCTTTGAGACTTCGAAGATTTTCCTTATTACTTTCATCGTGTCGTACATTGGTGTTGTCAACAAGTATTTTCCTGTATTGTGAAGATGGACAGGAATGTGTTTTAGATGTTGTGTAATAGAACTTGTTTCCGACAAATAAAGTGTAAGACGTCTTGATAATGTTGTGGTGGTCACGTCAACATATGTACTTACTTAAAACAGAGCGCGTTTGCGCATGTTTTTAAAAATCACCATCACAACGGAATGCAGATTTTATTGCAGTTACAATTTGTCTTTGTAATTTACCCCTGAAGATGAACTTGGAAAAGGTCGAAAGTACTTCGGTTAAAAAAAAAACTACGACGCCTTCCTTGATGAATTTCATCTCAACATCAAGAAATTCATTAGAGAACTGGAAAGGATCAATATAAAAATAAGCGGACACAAAATGTCTATATTATTCAATGAGACATTATATATATATATATATATATATATATATATATATATATATATATATATATATATATATATATATTTTTTTTATTCATTTTGTCTCCTCTACAAATACACTATCTGTGAATATTTATACGCATACACACACACAAACACACGCACAAGCACACACATACACATACACAAACATAGATAGATAGATAGATAGATAGATAGATAGATAGATAGATAGATAGATAGATAGATAGATAATATTAGTGGTAAATATACACACACATATGCACAATATATAATCAAAAAAAATTTCGCTTGAAGATGGAACAGAGCTTGGTACTTTAATTCAGTTTAATTCAAATAATTATATTGAAGATTTCATCTCTTGTTTTGAAACATGAGAACTCTTATGCAGCAATGGAATCATATTTTTAAATAAAATAATTATATTTAGGCTCTACTTTTGTATCAAGCACTGTTTTTTAAAAATAATAGCAAAAATGCTAAAGAACTTTGGATTATTTACCTAACGAGTTCTTTCCTATTTTCTATATATTTTCACACACACACACACACACACACATATATATATATATATATATATATATATATATATATATATATATATTGTCTCTTTTTATTTATTTTGTCTCTTCTACAGATACACTATCGGAGAATACTTACACACACGCATATGTGTGTGTGTATGTATGTATATGTGTGCATACGCCAACGCTACCAAAGTCTCAAACACATACACTTGCTTCACTGGCTTTGAAAGTGATAAACCGACCTACAAACATACATACATACATACGACCTACATACTTATATACATGCATTCATACGTAACAATACGATTGAAGACGATTGGCAGTCGAAAGTTTTGGAGCTAAATTCTGAAATGCCATTACAACGTCTAGGGTCAGTGCTGGTCGACAGATATGGCCGCCATAAATAGAGTTTCCATTATGACACAAGGTATGGCCACTCGGGAATTATCTATCCACTCTTCCTCCGCCATTGTTCTATAATCTACCCAGCATCCACCATTACCAATACAGCCAGCCTTCATTTCTTCAGTTTGACGTTCTGAATACGTTTCTTTGTCCTTGTTTGGACTACGACACGGCCTGGTCAATTCAGGTACAAAGTAGACAATATAGCCGTCCTCTGGACGGCTATTTATTTCTCTGTTCATAGCTGTGAATCCGGGCAACTTCCGGTGATTTAATTTGAACGGAACAGGAAACGCTAACAATTCAGACACAGGAAATTGTAGATGCAAAAGTGAAAACAATGACAAAGGCATTTCAAAAGTAAACTGAATCAATAAAAACTAATAACTGTTGTGATGATAATGATATTAATAATAACAAAATAATAATAATAATAATAATAAAAGATAGAGAGGCCTCGCCTATGAACAATGGTTAGCAAGCTAGTCTCGCAGGCTATTACTCCAGCATTGAATTTGATCAACACTGGTTGTCCCACCCGTCTGACTTTTTAAAGCGATGTATACAAACAGCGTTAAAAGCAGATTGAACAAAACGAGAATGGAAATTAAAAGTGAGACAGACTAAGAAAAGCTTTACTAATATCAGCAAACGAGATCGTCCCATCGAAAAACTAAACACGGAAAGACGGAATGAAATTGTCGACATGATGAAAAAGTGACAGCAAACAATGCCAAGGTATGGTACAGAATATAGAGCATGACATGAAGAAATTCGCAACAAATGCAGACAGGCAAAAAAAAGAATGAAAAATGTACAGAAATGGAAAGAGTGAGCATCAGAGACGAGGCTGAGAAGCGTAAAAAATAAGAACAATTACATTGACAAAGATGTACTTATCGACAGGATCCGTAAATAAATGCTGATGATAGAGAAAGAAAACATGTACTCAAAAGTAGAATGAATACATCGGAGGATTCTTCCACGACGAAAGAGGAAAAGCTGCAATGCACAAAAATATTGAAGGACCAGAAATATTAAAGTCTGAAGTGAAATCAGGACTGGCCAAATTAAACAGAAACAAAGCAGCAAGACTAGATGAAATTGGGATGGATATGCTGATAGCCTTAAATAATTTCGGCATTGACAAAATTACAGAAATCATAATACGACAGTGGTGGTATATCGGAAGACATTTTCAATGTTCTGCCTAAGAAGTCGGATGCTAATGTAGAACAAGATTTACAAAGAAATTTTGCACAGTTTTTTTTATTATTTTTTTGTTGAATTCTTGATTTGTTTTCTACGGTTTGTCAACCCTTTGCATGTTATTTAAAGCTAAAAAATATTTTTAGATTGTAAAACAAAATATTTTAGAGATAATGGTTTAGCGATACAAGTCTTACTAATTAACCCATATCTGGAGGGGAGAAGAGGTGGCATCATACATAATCAGAATTTGATAAACAAGAAATAGTTTGGAAATAAAGTGGGGGATCAATTATACATTACAATCTATATATAAACTGATCCCCCACTTTGTGACCACGTTAGTTTCTATACATTTATAGTCTAGAGAATGTAAATAAATCTAAAAGGCATACCTGGGTAGCTAATCATTCATTTTATTAACATTTGATTGTTTGATTCGTTTTCTACGGCTTATCAACCCTCTGCAGGTTATTTAAAGCCAGGAAATATGTTTAGATTGTAAGAAAATTTTGTGGGGGTGGGGGAGATAATAATTTAGTGATACAAGTCTTACTAATTAACCCATAGCTGAAGGGGAAAGAAGTGGATTCATACCTAAGCAGAATTAGATAAACAAACAAGAAATTATAATGTGGATATAAAGTGGGGGATCAATTCTATATTACGACCTACATATAAATTGATCCCTCACTTTGTTATCACGATAGTTTCTATACATTTATATTCAAGAGAATACAACTAAATCAAGAAGGAACGTGCCTCTGTAGCTAATCAGTATTTGATTGACTGATTCGTTTCTACGGGTTATCGACCCTTTGTAGGTTATTTAAAGCCTGAAAATATTTTAGAGATAATAATTGTTTAGTAATACACGTCTTACTAATTAACCCATAGCTGGGAGGAGAGATAGATCCATACCTTTCCCAAGGATACTTGCAAGTAAGTGAATATTACCGAACCCAACTGGACTTGAAACTCGGATCTCCGATTAACATTTCCGAGCCATTATCCATTACACCACCCGCACACCTAAACTTACAGTACCTGGTATTCCCAAGCGGTCACCAATCTAGGTACTGACCAGGCTCGACGTTGCTTAACTTCGGTGATCGTACGGGAATCGGTGTTTTAATGTCACGTAGCTGTAAGCCTTGTTTTTCATGTATGCGAATAAATGTTTTCTTTTATGGACGTAGTGAATATAAAAATTGTCCAAATATTTGTTGATTCCAAGTGCTTTCGACTAAACTATTCGCCATTTTCAATGATTTTTGTTATACTATAATGAATGGTATGCCAATGTAGACAGACAAAAACTTGCACAAATGTAATTGATGTGATTAATGTTTTCTTTTTTCGACAATAAGAGAGAAATAAATCGAACATTGAATAGGCTGTGCCAGAGGTTGTTTCACCCGACACAAGAAATTGCTACGAAGATGGATAGCTAGATAGATAGATACATATTAACGTAATCAGATAGATAGATAGATAGATAGATAGATAGATAGATAGATAGATAGATAGGAACAGACTGTGATGTATAGATATGAACAGAGATGGATAGATAGATATGAACATACTGAGATAGATACAAACAGGCTGAGATAGATAGATAGATAGATAGATAGATAGATAGATAGATAGATAGATAGATAGATATTAACTTAATCAGATAGATGGAGAGGTATATAGAAACATAGAGAGATATTAACTTAAAAAGATAGACATTAAACAGATAGATAGATAGATAGATAGATAGATAGATAGATAGATAGATATGAGTAGAGGATGGAATAGATAGATAGATAGATAGATAGATAGATAGATAGATAGATAGATAGATAGATAGATAGATAGATAGATAGGAACAGACTGTGATGTATAGATATGAACAGAGATGGATAGATAGATATGAACATACTGAGATAGATAGATACAAACAGGCTAAGATCGATCGATCGATCGATAGATAGATAGGAACAGACTGTGATAGATAGATAGATAGATAGATAAATAGATAGATAGATAGATAGATAGACATGAGTAGAGGCTGGAATAGATAGATAGATAGATAGATAGATAGATAGATAGATAGATAGATAGATATGAACAAGCTGAGATAGATAGAAACAGGATCTTGTAAGACCCAAATAATCTATATTATTAGTCCTGATCTGGCGACACAGTAGTTCCAGTGACTTTCCCAGCACCGTTGCCTTTTTATGCATTTTATATAAATATATTTGAACGATCTCTTCGGTATGGTACCTAGAGTTTTTGAACCTGAGCTCAGCACTAGACTGGCATCAAGATCTCATCAATTTACAGTTGAGCTAGATAGATGTAACCGTAAGTTCTATGCTAACAGTTTCTTCTCTCGCACTTCACTTGTCTACAGTCCATCTGATTACTCTTTTCTCTTTCTGTTCATCCTCAATGTTTCTGTTGCTATTTCCTCTACACTCTATAAACTCTTATGCTTTACTGGCATTACTGCCTTGTTTGGCGGAATTCTGATTAAAAAAAAAAAATAATAATACAAAATTAAAATAAAATAAAACGTCAACTGGAATATAAAAATGTTTTCAAGTCAAAAATTTTCAAAAAGTTAGAAAATTCAACTAGTCAGATAAATAATACAAAAAATTCTTACAGCAATTGAATACTGCCAAATTCAATATCTGTCTATATCTCTGAGATAAGGTATTATGATTACTTGCATTATTTACATTATTCGGACTATTATCCTCATCTTCATTGCCATATTTACAACCTTTCGGCCTCTATATCTCTAAGATGAGGTATTATGATTACTTGCATTATTTACATTATTCGGACTGTTATCTTCATCTTCATTGCCATATTCACAACCTTTCGGCCTCTGTATCTCTGAGATGAGGTATTATGATTACTTACATTATTTACATTACTCAGATTGTTATCTTCATCTTCATTACCATGTTCAGAACGTTTCGGCCGTTGTACGCTCCGGCCTTCTTCAAGGGCACATGGCCTAGTGGATAAAGACGTTGGTTAGATTTCAGTGACTAGACGCAAAGACTTGTGTGTTCAATGCCAGGCTACAGCAGTGAATCAAAAAACTCGAAGAGTTGAGTTAAAGCGAAATAACTTAGACAATCAAAAGAGGCATGGCACATGAAACTAGAAAAATCTCCTCCTGTGGACGAAATAAAGGGTCTGGTTCGAAATTCCAGTCACCTGGAGGAGGCCGGAGCGTGCAATGGTCAATCAGAGGCCTTGCTGTCTGATGTAGTTTATCGTCTTAGCCAGGACTCGGATGTAGTTTATCGTCATACCCAGGGCGCCGATGTAATATATCGTCTTACCCAGGACGCGGATGTTGTTTATACCCAGGACGAAAAGATTATAGACACCACCTGTATAAAGCGAACGCAGTTTCGCGCGCATTGCTGCAGCATCAAACAAAAAATTAAACCATTAACTAGTGTTGTGGGATCCAAATTATGGAGAAAGTTCTAGAGATAGACCAGAATCTTCAAAGACCAATTTATAGATAAACTCAAAATTCAGAAAGGCTAAACTAGAGGGCGCTATAAATGAGAGAAATGGTCGAGAAGGAGGGGTCAGAGAGACATAAACTCTTGTGATATCAACTTGGAGAATGAATAATGAGAAATTAGGGTCATGTGTATTGTCTCATGTAGTCGTCACGTGACATCTTCTCTACAGGCTTACATAAAATATGTCATTTTTTCTTTTTAAGGAGAAGATAAATCATATAATGCAAGTTTTGTTTTTGCTATGATTGTTTTTAACTTAATATTTACAGTTTTTGAAACGAATTTTACGAGAACTGCACGATATCAGATTTTAGTATACGAGTCAATGTTTTCACAATAAAACCGGAAATAACCAACAGATGATGGTAAAATTTTCAAGATATATTTACAGTTTGGTTTGGTTTGGTTTGGTTTACGGCATATCAACCTCAATAGGTTATTTAATGCCGACAAAATTTTTATTGCTGGTAATATTTTGTTTTGTCAAAAATCTATTTCTGGTAATATTGTCCTTCAAAAATGTATTGCTGGTGATATTTTTTCCTCTTAAATGTATAGCTGGTAATATTTTTTTTCCAAAATGTATTGCTTGTAATATTTGTTTTTTAAGAACTTTGTTGATAATATTTTTTCAAAAATGTCTTGCTGATAATAATTTTTTTACAAAGTATTTCTGATATTAAAACCTATTTTTACACTTTCATAGTGTTTTGACCCGAGTTTCGGTGTTAATTATTTGCCCATAGATTGGAACCCACCAGGTGCTACCACCCCGGGTCAGGGTGGACCTGGGAACACCAGCAATTAAGAGGTGATTCCACGCTCCTCAAAACCTCTTGATCAGAGGCCTTGCTACTGGATGCAGTTTATTGTCTTACCCAGGACACTATATTTACAGTAAATATTAATATAGGTGTCTAGTTGACTTAAATTGGGGGATCGGTTTTCTTTTGTTATTAGGTAATAAATTGATAACCCCACCCTAGAATTACTACTCTATGTCAGATTTTACTATGCAAGTCAGTGTTTCTCCTGGATATAAAGTGGGGGACCTATTTTTTATTGTTATCAATTAATAAATTGACACCGCCTAGAAGTACTGCACTATGTCAGATTTTATTATGCAAGTCAATGTTTTCACAATAAAATTGGTAATAATCAACAGCTATTGAAAACATTTTCAGGATATATTTACTTTAAATATTAACGTAAGTTTTTACCTGACATAAAGCGAAGGATTTGTTTTTTATTGTTATTAAGTAATAAATAAACCCCCCTAGAATTATTACACTATGTCAGATTTTACTATGCAAGTCAATGTTTTCATAATAAAATTGGTATTTTCAAAATTTTCAAAATGTTAAAAATTAACATAAGTTTCTACTGAACATAAAGTGGGGGATCATTTCTTATTGTTATTAAGTAATAAACTGATCCCTCTAGAATTACTACAATGTTAGAATTTATTATGCAAGTCAGTGTTTTCATAATAAAATTGGTATTAATCAACTGATATTGGAAACCTTTTCAATATATATTTATGTTTATATAAAAACAATAACAAATATTTGAATTGGCCAAAAAAATGTCGTCCAGGGTAATTAAGCAACTGATGATGGGAAAATTTTACAAGATATTTTTTCGTTATATATTGATATATAACGTAAACTGAACATAAAGTGGGGGATCGGTTTTCTGCCATTATAAAGTAATAAATTGATCCACCATTGAATTCCTACACATTGTTAGATTTTATTATTACTTTTAAATTGTATATTTTTTAATCAGTGTTACCTCAAGCAAAGCAGTACAGCCACTAACACGCAAGGGGTTACCGGATGTGAAGAAATTAGGAACAGAAATATTAGTAACGAGGGGAAAGATAAAAGAGCAATCAGTAGGATAGTAGATAGCGATTGACATTGCATTTAAATTCTTGCAGATTAAAGTTGGCTGGAAAGAATGAAGTTCCACAAATGAGAGGTGCGAGAAAATAAATTGTTAGCGAGAAGTTAGATAGCTCAACTGTAAATTGATGCAAGTTCGCTGCCAGTCTAGTATTGCGCTCAAATTCAAACCAATACCAAATTCAATACCATAACGAAGAGCTCATCCGAACAATTACCATGAAAGTATTTATAAAAATGGTACAGACAAGCAACCTAACTGCTGTGGGAAAATGAGTGAAGTTGAGGCGTCAGATCAGAACCAATAATAATGCTGAATCTTTGGATCTTATCAAAGGAGCTCAAAGTAAATAGCAGGAGCACTGGACCATATATGGCAACAATATTCTAAGTACGGACGAATGGTAGACTTATAGATATGCAAGATAGATTCAGGAGAGAAGAATTCTCTCGCCCGACTCAGCGAACCAACTTTCTTAGCAGTTGACCTAGCAATAGGTTCGATATAGTCTTTCCACTTCATGTCAGCTGAGAACGTTAGCCAGAGAAGGCGCAACGGGTCGCTTCCCTGGAGGATAGCATCAGCCATACTGATGAAAGACAGAGAGGGGTCTCCCAGATGATTAATAGAGAGAAGTTTAGTTTTGGGGGGCTTCAAAATTGATGGCATCTTTTGCCCCAGATAACGATGGTCTTGATGTCGTTTTGTACATCAGCTGCCATTTTGACCTTGTCGAACTGATCAGCCTTAGTATCGAGACAGTAGTAAATGGTAGTGTCGTCAGCGTAGATACCAAGTTGAGAACTGATGTCATCGGGAAGGTCGTTAACAAAGGTTAAAAACAGTGTAGGACTAAGGATGGGGCCATGAGGGACACCCGCCTTAGTATGAAAGGATGTAGACGAGTGACCGTTCAGGACAACTTTCATTTCACGATTTGATAGAAACGAAAGGATCAGCTCAAAAATGTGCCCGGAGATATCGCAAATTTTCAGTTTGTGGAGAAGACCTGAATGTCAAAGGCTTTCGAGGTGTCCAATGCTACAGCCCAGGCTTCACCGTTTTTATCTAGAGCATGATAAACTCTTTCCACAATTATCGTTAGTACATTAACAGTTAACCAGGAGAAATGAAATCCGCATTTCTTGTCTGAGAAAAGACCCCGCAATGAGAGATGGTGAACCAATTCGTCATTGATTAGGGCCTCTATGAATTTCCCAAAATTGAGTAGAAGGCTAATAAGCCGATAGTTAGATGGGTCTGAGGGTTCATTAGAGTTTTTAAAAACTGGAACAACAGACGATGACTTCCAGCAAGCAGGAAAGCAGGAGACAACGTGGTACTTATTATATAGTTTAGAGAGAACAGGAGCCAGTTCGGGAGTACAATTGTTAATGACTATTACATCGGGTCCACATGCTTTGTGGGGATCAAGGTTAGAGATGATGACAGAAACCATGAAATGGGTTATATGCATATCACTGAACAGAATCAGTTCTAAGTGAGAAGATGAGCAAGAATACACCAGATGAGTCAAGAGTAGTGTTTGAGGACAATTTACGGGCAAAGCATTCAGCTTTATCAGCAGAGGATGATAACACTCAAATCCGTTGAAGAGGTGGGGTAGAGACCTCGCACTTTTTAGTACCCTATTACAGAGATGCCAGTAATCACGAGAGCCAAAATTTTAGAGTCAATGTTGTGCCTCAGTCTCTCAGCAAACAGGAGACTCGCTTACATTTGTTACAAGCAATAGCAAATACGCATCTGTTACGACGAGATCTGTCACGCTGGTATAGCTGAAAATAGTTGTTCCTGCTTGATATGACGACTTAGTATTCTGGTGTGAACTATGGAGAGGATTGCGGTTCCAACTAGTACTTCCGAGAAGGGATGAAAGCGTCTATACCGGCTTTGACTCAAGAAGAAACCTCAGTGGCTCAATTTTCAATTGAGAGGTTGAAGATGTTAGTCCAAGGGGCGTGAAGATGAAAATCGCGGACAGAGCCCAAGTCAGCATGCTAGTAACGGAAAGAGGTCTTATGGATAGTGGGCTCCTGTTTAATGGATGCTTGAAAGGAGATATCAATAGCTACCACGGAGTGGTCGGAGTTACCAAGCGGGCAGTATTGTGAAGCTCGTCAAGAGTAAGGAGAGAAAGTAAGAAAAAGACCCAGAAGAGAAGCCTGTTGCTCTCATTGGCCAGGAAAACGAATAGGAAAGTCCACGATTTGAGCGTGGGATTGGGAAATGGAAAAATTTAATGTTTGTATACCGGCAACATCAGTACCTTTAGAATATTTCAGTCACGTGACTTTCAAGTCACTGAAGTTATTTGCAAATGGATGTTGAGAAAGCGCCTTTTCTGTACTGTCAGCTATTGCGTCTAATATACTGCAGTCTTGGAAGATGGGGAGCGATAAAGGAAAGGGAGACAGCTGACAGAATTATGTAGCGAAAGACGGAAGCGCATGAAAGAGTAGTCGGCGGCCTCGAGAGTCAGTTTTCTGGCCATCGGAAGATTATCCCGGATGTAAACAGCAAGGCCATGCATGTGAATACTGGAATACTTCCGTTAATCCACCATCAATATTTGATCATTTGCCATAAATGTATTACCTAGTCCTCAACCAAAACCAACAAATAAAAGTACTTCTTATGTGCGAAATGTGCAAAATGGTGAGTTGGCACAGATTCTAGAAAAACACAAAATCCTCACTTTTGAAAACTTGTATCAGAATATTAATCAAGAGGATTTTGTCTCAGCAGTTACATGCTATAAATCAAACAATCATCTGTTCACCCAATTTGTTGATTTTTTTCAATGGAAGTATTCCAAAGTTTTTAATTAAAATTTTTGGAAACTTGATATTTTAAATGTTACAACGCTGGTGAATATACAACAATTTCAAAAAGTCGAATATCAACAAGCCGGAAAGCAAGAAACAGCAAGACAATAGTAGCAAAGTTTAGAGAGAACTGGCGCCAGATCAGGAGCACATTTCTTTCAGACGAAGGCTGGGATCCCGTCACCTCCCGTTGCCTTATGGCAATCTAGAAAATGAATTTGGAAAATTAAGACAAAGTTCTGGAGGTGCATATTTTATAAAAGTTCAAAATGTTATGGAAAAATTTCAATATTGGAAAAACTAAGACTACACCTTAAATGTTGAAGTCAAAGAATACAACTTTGATCCAGGCCATAATTGCTCAAAATGTGGATATTTGCTGGATAAAATTGGATGCCAAA